GGAGAAGGAGGGGCAGTCTCCTGTACCAGTCAGATCCAATTTGACGGTACACACACACACACACACACACACACACACACTTTTTCTTCTTTTTTAAAAGACTACTTCAGCTGTCGCGGCCCTCTGCCCGGGGCGGGCTGCCCTCGGCCCCCTGCCCGGGGCGAGCTGTCGTGGCCCCCTGCCCGGGGTGGGCTGTCCTGGGCCCCCTGCCCAGGGTGAGCCGTCGCGGCCCCCTGCCTGGAGTGGGCTGCCCTCGGCCCCCGGCTCGGGGCGAACCGTCGCGGCCCTCAGGAGCAAGAAGGCAAGCAGCTGTAACCCAAGACCACCAGTAAGGTGATAAAGCGTCCTCTCTTCCTCCCTTTATATCTATGCCCCTGTTCAGCATGAAGAAGTCAGAGAGTCAGCATCCAATTCCCAAATCAATAAGACAGTTGGCTTAATTACTATTGGAAATTGCTTGTCATTCCTCTGTAGCATCTGGTCCCCACTGGACCCTCATCGTTTTCTTCATCTGCTCCCCCCACCAACCAAACTGTGCAGCTCTGCAACTGCATCCTGGCCCATCCTCACCCTTCTGCCCCCAACCCTCACCTCCTTGTACCCCCAATATGTTTTTCCCAATAAAAAAATATTTAAAAAATAATAAAATAAAAATAAAGACTAAGGTGTTCCTGATTCAGGCCATGGCCTTTTCAGTCACTTGCTCTGCATCTGAGAGCTAGGCAATGAATAAGGATGACAGAAGAAGAACTGATGCCTTTGAGTTGTGTAGTTGGACAAAAGTTTTGACAGGTAAGTCTTGGAGAAAGTGCAGTCAGAATGCTCCTTGGAAGCGGGAACGGTAAAGCTTTGTCTCACATACTTAGAGAATGTTGTTAGGAAGGGCTGCTCCTTGGAGAGGGACATCAGGCTTGGAAAGGTGGAGGGTCAGTGAAGGAGAGGAAGACCCTAATGAGATGAGTTGACACAGTGACTGCAGCAAGGGGGCCAAGGGTGTCAGAGTTGATGAGGACGGCACAGGATGGGACAGGGTTCAGATCTGTTGTTCATAGGGCCACTAAGAGTCATACTCAACAGCACTCAACAACAACAATGCCATCTTTATAATCATTAGTGTGTTGAGTCCCTTGTTGGGGCTGTTGTGTCAATCCATCTGAGTGTGCCCCTATTTTGTGCTGTACTTTACCAGAGGTACCAGCTGAGCAGCCCCCGTGCAGAAGCCTCTTGCTGCCATCATTAACTACATCTAGTCAAAGAGTCACAGAACCTAGATTCAAGAGAAGGGATATATCTCTCCATAGGAAAAAAAATGTCAAAACATTAGGGGTCATTTTGAAAGACCCTCCACACCATAGCAGGCTCCTTTGTTGTTGAGTGAAGAAATGATGGAGATATGGGCTCTGAAAACGCTGCCTTGCTTGGCAGGCCCCATTTGGCCCAAGATGCAGAGAAATAATCATAAATTCCATTAGGCTCCTACCACATGCTCGTGAAGGGCGTACGTGTGGAGTGCACATGCTGAGTGTCCAGGGTAGAGAAGAGCATGGACTAGGCTGCTTCCTGATGCTACCATGTGCCAGGCACCGCGGAAGCAGACATGGTAAACCGTGTACCAGCCCTTGAGGCGTATATGGCCCAGAGAGGATAATATGTAAAGCAATGCCACCACTTCATGTAACAAGTGACCAAGTGGAGAGAGTCTCAAAGGGAAGGACACTGACCCTCAGGGACACAGAGGCTGCTTCTGGGAAGAGGCAGTGTCTGAACCTCTGAAGAAGGGAATTTTGGGTAGAGGGACAAGCCTGGGCAAAGGCAGGGAGGCATTGAGAAAGAAACGAATGTTTGGGAAAAAGTATTGGTGATTCAGTGCGGCTATACTGGGGTGTGGTGAAGTGGGCAGAGCTTAGAGATAAGGCTCTAGGGACCAGTAGAGTCAGATGCCAAGAAACATCAAAAAGGCAGATGACAAGCCTTGATTTCTGAGGAAGCGTGAGCATGTGGGCACATGAGGAAGAGCAGGCAAGGGGTCAGGCCTGGACAGTCGTGTAGCCAGTGCTGCTGTTATGCCTGAGTTTCCATGAAGTGGGTAGAGCTGGGAGGACGGGATGTGTGGGGCAGGTAGAGTTTGAGATGCTGATGATGGAAATTCCAGTTAGATCTGGGGTTGGGGAAGTATGGCCTCAGGATCAGATGAACCAGCAGGAGTGCTGATGCAGAGCTTGGCTATTAGGATCAATGAAATGCCAGAGTTTGTAGGTGAGGAAGATCTAGGGAGGCAAGCAAGTTAATGGCTATTCCTTGAGCCTATATATGTTGAGCACTAGCCCAAGCAGAGAACACTGATGGTTTAGTGGTAAGGAATTGTGCTTTCAACACAAAGGTACATGGTTCGAATCCACTAGCAGCTGTGTGAAAGAGAGATAGGCAACCTCTTCCTGTGTAATTTACTGCCTGAAAACTTGCTGGAGGGTCAGCTATGGGTCAATTTCTACTTGACGGTACCCAACAACAACAACATGTCAAGTTCTTAATATTCACTTATTGAAACCTCATAAAAGTAAGACTTCATGGATCCAAAACCAAACTCTCACACCCACTGCCATGCAGTCAGTTCTACTGGTGACCCTCCACTAGTTTCGAAGGCTGTGAATCTCAACAGGAGCAGACGAGCGGACTGCTTCATCCCTCCTCCAGGATCTTTCTGCTAACAACCCAGCGTGCGAGGCTCTCCACCCCCAGGTAACTTCTTTAATCTACTGTCCACAGTAATATGTAAAAGAACAATTTCAGGTATAACCGGGGAGAAGTGCCATAAATGAAATCATGACATGCCTTTGATCTTAAGACACCTTCTGACTTCAGAGACGTTCAAATGAAAACAAATCAACAAAGTGAATTCTTCACATTTTAAAGATGAGGGAACTCTGACGTGGAGGAGTTAACTTGTTTATTGAGACATGGAGCCAGGACTGGAAATCAGACAATCCAATTCCAGAGCCCAAGTTCTTCACCATCTCTTGATAGTAGGCTGTTGTGAGCAGTGTGGCATCTGAAGAGACTGGTATAGCCACCAGGGTTGAAAAGCAGACAGTCCGACTCAAGCCTGAGAGACTGGGATGCACTGTGAGAAGGTGCCAGAGGGGAGGGGACACTTGGGATAGAAGGCTCTCGGGAATGAGCAGGTCTTGTTGATCAACTCCAAAATAAGTCTGGGAAGCTGGTACAGGGAAGCTGGTACCATGGGAGGGCACAGGCATCTAGAGCGGTCTAAGAATTAGGGTGCCCAGGTGGTCAGGAAGAGAGGGCTCTCATCTAGCATGAGCAATACAACACTGGCCTCCAACATTGGCATTCACTATTTATTGAGTGAATAAATGAGCTGCTATATATTCTTGGCTAAGTCACCGCTTTCTGGGCCTCGTTTCTTTTTCACGTGTAAAAGGAAAAGACTGAACTAGAAAGTAAAACAAATGGAAGAAATTTGTTGAAGGAGGGAAGTCTCTCATTCCCCATTGCCAGAGTCTCTCTGAGTCCTGAGAGGGGTGGTTCTAATTCACACAGAAGGTTGGATTACTTCAGGCCTCACTCTGGAACACTCAATTCACCATCTCAAGAGGTATAGCCAACACGTCTAGTTTTCACAGTTGCCCAGGTGACCCACCCAGAGGCAGCAGGGGGAGAGAGCCTACTTTGGATCCTGTAGGCACCCAGTTTGAAAGCCCTTGGACTGAAACCTATGTATGGGTGATGAGGTTGTTATTGTGTTATGTGCTGTCAGGAAGTAACTCTTAGCTAAGCCTCCCGCGGGTTTTCAGAGTCTATAAATTGCATGGTAAAAGATTTCTTGCCTTTCTCCCAAGGAGCAACTAGTGGATTTGAACCACTTGTTTTGGGCATGGCAGCACAACTCCTAACCCACCAGGCCAGTGGAACTCCAGGTTGACGACAAGCCTCTCTTTTTAATTTCTATCTCTCAACTCCCCACTGAAAGCTTATGATGAGCAGGGGAACACACACCAGGATTTCTCCAATTGGAACACTATGGATATTTCGGCCAGAATTCCTGGATGTGCTTGTGGGTTATGGGGGCTGTCCCATGCATTACTGGACGTGTGCAACACTCCTGACCTCTACCTGATAGATACTAGTAGTTTGCAAATCAACCATTAAAAATAGCTTTAGATAATGCCAAATATCGTGTGTGTGTGTGTGTGTGTGTGTGTGTGTGTGTGCAATGATCCCCAGTTGAGAACCTCTGTGCTCTGGCATCTCTCTGCCCCATCTTGTTCTAGATGGAAGCAGGCACTGGAGGCCTGGCTCCACTGCAGGTTGACTTGGATCTGGGGTAGGGGGTACCTCCCAAGAAGCCAGGGCCTCTCAAGGATAGCACAATGGAGGGACAGCATGCCAGCGGCCTGACTGAGGTGGCCTCCCTCCAGAGGGAGGGAGTTTTCCAGAGCACTCATTCCCGAATTCCCAATCAGTTATGGGAATGCCCACAATAACTCTGGGGCAGACGGCCTCTGCTTTCGGGAAACAGACAGAAAGGGGTGTGGGAGTGGTGGAATCCTGGGGGGGATTCTTTCCTTGGTAGATATTTTCCTGGCATTGTTGGCCTCTCCTGGCTGATTGGTTGAGGCCTGGAAGGGAGGAGCTTTCTAGCATAGGTGCCTGATGGCTGCTGGAATTGTTGGGATGTCTGGGTTTTAGGGGCTTGAAGAAAGTGGAAACTTGTACTCTTTGGGGCTAGGACTAAGGAAGGAGCTGGCTGGGTGGGCCTCAAGGGAAGTGGAAGCTGGGTACACACCCTTAGCACTGTAGGATGGCGAGGCAGCATCTTCACAAAGTACTTTTTGCCTGGAGTTGGCGGGACCTGAGGAAGGAAAGGACTAAAAGAAGAGAGGAAAGGGGGCCCCGGGAGAGGGAGGCAGGCGCGCGGTGGGCAGACCAGGGAGGAGAGTGGCTAGAGTGACGGGTCATTTCCTGCTGGGGTCATCAGCTCACTCCACCATGAAGCTCAGCACGCTCAGGAGCAGGAGGGCAACCGAGACAGAGAAGAGCAAAATCCGGGCTTCCCAAAGATCGTGGCTTCCTGCAGGGAATCTCGGAGGCATGAGCGGTCCTGGGGGCCACACCAGCCTAGGCAGGGCGTCCTGAAGGCCCAGGGGTGGGGAGAAGGACCTGGCCAGCAGCGATTCCGAGGCCAGCAGTGCACCTCCATGCCCTCACAGGTGGAGCAGTTGTACAGGGTGGTGGTGCCCCCTGCAGGAGACAGCGGGCCAATGTGAGAGGCCGAGGCTCCACGCCCTGGGCCCAACGCCCAGAGCCTGGCCAGGAGACCCCTTGTCCTTACTGTTATCATGTACCGTCCAGCCAAGTACGATTCTGAGCAGCCCTATGAAGGACTCTGAACCCTGCCCTGTCCTGAGCCAACCTCAGTGTCTCTGACATACCTGCCCCCATTGCCACAGTCACTGAGTCAACCCATCTCAGCCAGATTCTCCCTCTCCTGTGCTATCCCTCCACCCTTCCAAGCATGATGTCCTTCTCCAAGGACTGGTCCCTTCTGACAGCATGTCCAAAGTGTATGAGATAGAGTTTCACAATCTTTGGCTCCAAGGAGCACCCTGGTTTCACCTGCTCCAGGACAAGCTGCTTTGCTACCCCATCCCTTTTGTACTCACTGCAGGCTGGAGCACAGAGAGCTAGAATGAGAGAAAAGGAAGGGGGTTGGGGTGATCAGCCACCAATCCCTTTATCCAAGGTCTCAGACATCCCTAGTTCCCTTCACACCAGTACCTTCCCTGGTGTACTCTGGGATCTTGGTATTGTGGAGCCATTTCCAATATAAAGGGAATGAAGAGAAAGACTCTTTGATCTCTGGAGAGGCAGGCAGACTCAGTATCACTTAGGGCCCCTCCACAGGCCCGGGTCACCTCTCCCACCTCCTTCATCTCCCTGCCTCCCTACCCCCTTCCCCCATCCCTCTCTGGATTTTCCGAAGCCCCTGTGTCTGCTTTCCCCCTTGACCTCACCCATGACCCTGAGGACTCTGTGCGTCTTCTCCGTAATTTTGTTCATGGACACTTCATCTGTGGAGAGGGACAAGAACCAGAGATGACCTCACCAGACATGGAGGCACTGAAGGGGGTTCCTGAGCTCTCTCAGAGGGAGAACCTGGTGCATCCAGAGAGGCTGTGGACTGAATCAACAGCAGACAGGTGCAGCTGGGAAGCCATATGTCGTTCCCCTCAGGGTGAGAGGTGACTAACTGTTGCTGGGCCTGGTCTTACCTAAAGCAAAGGCTGAGAAGCCTTTAAAGGCCTCACACGTCTCCCACCAGGACTCCATCTGCCCGCAGATATGGTCGACACGGCCCAACAGGTCATGGGCTGGGAGGCGGCAGAACACACAGGCCTGGGCAGCTGCTGCGAAAATGCCACCAAGTACCAGTATCCACATGCGGTTGATTTAGGAAGCTGACCCCACCTTAGCTAGGAAATCTTCGGATGCTTTGTGATCCCTCTTCCAGCCCTTTGCCTGGCCATTCTAGAGTGTTCCAGAACACTCTAGATTATGGAAAAGCTGTGTCCAAGGAACTGAAGGCCAGAAAAGGACATTTTTACTGAGAGACATGAGCAGAGAAAGTAAGAATTCTGTTGGAAGGCAGGCAGTACTCACAACCCGGCCATCAGCAACCTTTACAAGTGTGTGGTTACAAAACAATTTTATTTTCCTTCTTATAAATTATGACCAGTGATAATGAGAGACTCCCCTGTGAAGAGGTTGTGAGTGAGTGTCCCACCCTCTCAGGAATCTAAAAATGCCAACATTTCCAATATCCTCCCCCACTCGCCCAAACTCTGCTTGTCATCTCTCTCTGCCCTGGACAGCCTTAGGCCTTTCCCAGCTATTGCCTAGCAACAGGCTCATGGTTGCTGCAGCAACCAAGAGTTCCACACAGGCTTCGGAGGTCTGGCCAAGCCCAATGTCTTCTTTTGCTTCTTACCAGGAAGATGCTGGTGATTGGAACCCCAGCAGGTCTTTCTCCGCCTACATGACTGTATTAGCATGTATACACACACACATTCATAAACAAACACACCCTGTGATTAAGCTAATTCTCAGTCTACTCACATATACTACAGACACACCCTGTGCCATAAGAGTTTCAAATTCAAACAGGCCTGGGCATGCAGGGAGAACAGAAGGACCAGAACACAGACACCAGCTGTGGTAATAGCTGGGGCCCAGGATGTCAGGGACACACACATTTATTGATGGGACACTGGCTGACTCTCATGCACATACTCATGGTCCCTGGGAGGGAAGTGAGGTTAAGATCCCACCCTCCTTCCCACATCTCACCCTTAACAATGGTTCGCTTAAAATACTACTTGAATCTTACGAGGGTCGCTCCAGCCCCACAGATAACAAGGCTTCTCCTAGCTAACCTCATGCCAGGTTGGGGTGGAGTTAGTAGCCTGTTTGCTTCTGTAGGTGGTTTGGGACACAGTGAAAAAAGAACATCCTTCCCCACATTCCTGAGTTTTTTGGCCTCTCATTGGTCAGAACAGGGGTCACCAGCTTCAGAAAAAACTATAGTATTCTTCTCCAGGAGACTTCATTAGGGCAATTCCAATACTGCTCCTCAGCCCTCAGAGTCCCCTAGGGCTGTGTGAGGCACCACCTGGGCAGGGAGGCCCTTCCTACTTCTACAGATGCTGACCCCAGAGCTCAGTGGAAAAGCTGGGGGTCCCTGGCCTCTGGAAAGAACAAGCTAGAGAAACTTCCCCCACCCCTCCCAGGTGCAACATTACTCCAGACCCTCTGGACCACGAGTGAGGCCTCAAGTGAGCTAGGATTTAGAAATTCCTGCCCATGTCTGAGCTCCAATCGGGCGCTGTGGGATCCCTCACAACTCCCAGAAAGAGCTGGGAAAAGGCTTTGGTGAGCCCTACCCATTTCCTCTCCCCCCTAAACGAAATAAGCTGAAGGCCGCATCCTCAGTGGCGGACAAATCGCAAGGATCGGGAGTTAAGCAGGTCCTCAGGGTCTGGGAAGACGGAGTCCAGGCGGAAGCCGTGTTCTAGGGCCACCCGCAGGACCTCCTCCAAGAAGCCCGCCGCGCCCACTACCTCCCGCTGCTCTCCTGGTCCTCCAGCCCACAGTGGCCGAAGCCCCAGCCTCCCATACTCCACCTCAGGGAGTTCCACGGGGCGGGGTGCCCACTCCAACCGGAAGTGTGGGCCCCCCTCTGCTCTGTCCCCGTTAGTCACCCCAAAGCGGGCCTGCATGGCGCCCAGACACTTGGGGTCTGTACAGAAGAGGTTGGCGTGGAAGGTGTCCACCTGCACGGAGCTCAGCTCGTAGTGGTGGGGGCCCCGGCGAGCAGAGAAGTGCACCAGGCGCGGGTTGGTGTCCACATCTGCGTGGAGCAGGGCAGCTGTGGGGGTAGACTCTCCCCGAGAAGTTTCCAGCTCCCGAAGGGCATCCAGGAGGGGCTGGATCTGGTAGAAGTCAGCCTCTGCTTTGAGAAGTGCCGTCTCCCCATAGCCACGGGGCAGGTCCAGTCGCCCCAACCTCAGGAAATTGAGGATATGGCGGAAGGCCTTGCCATCTCTGTCGATGAAATAGTGGCCACCTCCTTGTGTATTGAGGTTTGGGGGAATAGGGGTGCCAGCCCTAAACATGGCCCCCAGCATCGAGTCTGGGAATCGAGTCAAGGTCTCCAAAGTAGTGGAATACAGCGTGCCCCCCACATTCAGGGTCACGGGGCCCCCAAAGGAGGGGGACAGAGGAGACCCAGGAGGAGGGGAAATTTTGGGAAGTACAGAAGACACTGGAAGAGAAGAAAAGGCACAACTTGCTGGATGTGTGAAGAACTGGGTCTCAGCGCGGACACTCGCTGTGCTGGAAGCAAAGACGCTCGGAGAACCGAACCAGCAGCAAGGGTTTGGGTCTCACCCCAGCTACTTGGTGGTAGTGGGTGATTTCGGGTTGCAGAAAAGCTTATAAAAGAGATGGAAAGAGCAGAGTTAGGCCAGAGGGGGAGGGGAGCTTTTGGTGCAGACGTGAGCAGTTGTGGGCAGTCGCGACTCCTTCCTGCGTCTTCAGGCAGTGGGTTTCGGGGGAGCAGCCAGCTGGTTTCAGGGTTCACGCAGGGCTGGGTCAGGGCGATCGCAGACGCTCAGAGGCCTGACCGGGCTCTGGGAGCGGGTCCCAGGGCCGGAGGAAGACGATAGCGCAACGGGACCTGCAGCCGCTGGGGGGCGGCGGCGGCGCCCGGGGCTCGGGCTGGGCTGGCCGGCTGGTCTGGCGGGAGCGGCTGGAGGCTGGAGCGCGGAGCCCAGCGGTCACCAGTCTCCAGCCGACTGTGGCAGCTGCGGCAGCCACGTCTTCTCTGCCCTCAGGAAGTGGCCTGGGGCAGCGGCGGGAGCCCTTTAAGGGCCAGCCCCGCCCCTTGCCGCCCCGCCTCCCCGCCCCCGCGAGGCCATGCAGTCCGGGTGGAGGTGGGGACCGAGACTGGGCGACTGGAGGTACCGGGCAGACGGGCTGGACAGGCGGATGCGAGCGGGGGTGGTGTCGGGACTGTGACTCAGGTGCGTCGCCCAGGATGTGGCCTCGGTGTGCACCTCACCTGCCCCTGGGCGTGCAAGACCTCACGTCTGCAGCTTGGCCCGGATCCGGGTCTCGAACGCTCCACTCTGAGAAGAGTGGCCCTTCCTTACCCGTCGAGCCCTTGGGGAATTCCCGACAGGGCGGGTGCTGATCCCAGGCATTCCTGGGATGTCTCTGAGCTGAGGCGGCCTGAACGCCAGTCCCCAGGCAGCCTCTCCCCCTGCAGTCCAGCCACGTCGCCGAGTCCGGAGCCCCGCCCCGTGGCCGCTGTGCCCCCACGGCTGGAGGACTGGTGGGGATGGAGCTGCCCCTAGCTGCCCCGGACCTCTTGCGACACTCGGGCCCCTCAGTACCCAATAAATTACTTATAAAGGGGAAGCAAAGGCCGAGGCTTTAATGGGGATGGAGCCAGGGGTGGGGAGGGGAGAGCCCGCCCTGGTCTAGCCAGAACGCCTGATATCAAAGCGTGTGCAAGTCGTGGCTGCGACGGCTCAGCTTCTCCGGGTCGTCTGATGCCATGAGGGAGAAGTCACGGAAGATGTCCAGATATGTCTCATCTCCTGGAAATGGGGAAGCTGGAGTGAACGCCTGGGCCCTGGCACAGAAGGGCAAGAGGGGGCCGCTGGGCAGGGCTGGTACAGCATGCACGAGACCAGGCTGCCTGTCTCGAGGGCCTGGCACATCGGATGCACCAAGTACATACTTCTTATAAATAAATTAAACCAAAAGAGACTAGGCCCTTTCAATAGTCGGCCTAGAGGTGAGTACTTTACCTGCTTGACCCTGAGCTGCTTCGGCCTCCCTCATCTTTGCCAATCGTAGCCTGAAGGAAATGAGATTAAAGAATGAATGGCACTGTCCTCAAAGCCTCCCCTGAGCCCCCTGATATCCTTTCCTTTAGCTAGGTGGTGTGCTTCTTCCCACTGTTTTCCTAGGAACTGTTGTTTACTGTCCAGTCAGAACTGACCCACAATGTATTTTTAGAGGCAGTTTAATCACACTGGAGATTGCCTATACTTCTTTTATGGAACAGTTGGTGAATTTGAACTGTGTGCCTTTAGGACTGCAGAACAATTTCTTACTTCTAAGCCACCAGAGCTCCCTTCCCTAGGAACTAGTACTTAAAAGATCAACACTGTTGATGGATGAGAGATGTTTCTCACTCATGATGAGTTTCTCAGCACATTTCTAGCCACAGTGATGGCATCAGTCAAGTTTCAGAGGACTCTTGGTCCAGGTGGAGCCTCCCAAGGCCCTCTCTGGTCTCCGTGTTAGCCCCTCCCCATGTGGACTGGATAAGTACTGGCCCCATCCCTTCAGGAATCCTCACAGAGTGACTATATCAGCATTGGCAGTTTCCATGGCGATGGTCAGAGGGTCCCTGCCTTCAGAGTCCAGAGCCCCTAGATCTGCACCCCGTTTCAGGAACAAGCAGGCGAGCCTAGAGAGGACAGCCAGGCTCAGCTGGGCATTCATTTCCTCCAAAGTCTTTCTTCCAGGGCCCCCAGTCCCCGCAGCCCTACCCTGTGTGGCCAAGAATGGTTGCATGATGGAGCGGCCCCCGGCCCAAGCTGTCAGCTTGGTTCACATTCGCTCCATTCTGGAGGAGAAATTCACAGGCAAGCAGAGAATTCTGCATCAGATTCAGAGGGAGAGAAAGAGAGAGAAACCGGAGGTCATCTTCAGAGGCAGATTTAAAGATGCTTTGGGGTAGGGTCAAGCCAGTGCAAAGATGATGTGTGAATCAGGAGTGTGAGGTACAGCTAAGTGTGTCAGTCTTTCCCCATTGGCTTATCCATGCAGTAAATCCACAGCACAAGTTAGTTCATGAGGTCTGTGAGCCCTGTGTTACATATAAGGAAGCAGGCACAAACGGGCTAGTAAGTTATTTAGAATTTCCTTATAAGTGGCAAGATCCTGGATTTAAACCTAGGTTGTGTGGCCTCAACTCATACACTTTCAGCACCCAGTTTACATCGTTTATCACTCTTTGTGGGGTGGGGACCAGGGTGGAAGATGGGGCGGGGGGCGGAGTACCAGGGTAGAAGGTGAGGGTGGGCTGGGGAGATGACAAAGGTCTCACAGCAGTTGTGGCCTGGATTAGTGGTGTGGCATTGTCTTGACTCCCATTGACCCAGTTGACATCTGCTCCATGGGCAAGGGCATCGGCCATGGTGGGAAGGGATGGAGGATGTCCAGCAGCTCGAAACAGCAGTGCTCCAGAGTGCAGGCTGCCCAGGTCTTCAGAAGGGGGCTCTGTTAGAGAGATTTCATACTGTGAGGGCAGATCAGCTGTGTGCCTGGGGAGGATAAACCACAGCACAGCTCCCTACTACTATAATGGAATATAAACCAAACCCATTGCTACTGAGCTGATTCCAGCTCCTGACTACACCATGGTTGCAATGAGCTCTGATGGGAAGAAGCTGCACTGAAATCCCAAAGGCACATGGTTGGAATCTACCAGCTGCTCTGAGGGAAAAGGATGGGCAATTTCCTGAGGATTAACTGCCTCTGAAAACCCTAGAGGCTCAGTTCTTATGGATTGATTCCAACTCAATGGTACAGAACAACACTGTTCCAAGAACCATGGATTGCAGAGCAGAACTGTCCCACAGGATGCTCTCTTAACAGACCCATTTAGTAGACTTTGCTACTGGGAGGGTTTGAACAGTCAACCTTTAGGTTTGCAGTCAAGTACAAAGCTAGATGATTTCTCATTTAAGGTGAAGCCTTTGTACAGTGAGGCCAATGATGGGAGGTGGAGTTAGGTGTGTATGAGTGGGGGTGTTCATGTGGGGAGCTGCTGAGATGTGGAGACAGACAGTGTCATTTACCTCATTCTGTCCAACCACTCAGACTGGCTGACTCTCCCTGACACTCAGCTCTCAGCTCCCTCTCTTCCAGCTAAAATCATAGCCCTTTCATAGGCCTTTGGAAACCCCAAGCTCATTCCCACTCCTGCCTTTTCTTAGATACTTTACACCCCTTTTAGGGCATGACACTCCTGACTCTGCCTGCACCCAGCCCTAGCTCCCTCCATTCGTAGTGTCACACATCATTGTACTCCCTTGAAACTCTCCCTCTGTAAAATCAAATGTAGTGCTGTATGTTTTTAGGGGAAGGTCGGGGCCTCATATGCTGCGCAGCCTACCCTCCCTTCCGGGCCCAACGGGCAGCTCAGCGCACGAATGCCCAGCCAACCCACAAACCTGGCTTGCGACTGAAGCTCCCTGCCCGGGGTTTGATAGAAGGTTTTGGGGGCAGAGGAGGGTGCCCCCGTGGGGGGACCCGGCCACCTCTTCGTCCACGTACTTCTGGAAGCTTGGTGAGGAACTTCTTTTCTACATACTTGGCATGAATCCAGGCCTCCTTCTCCTGCCTAGGAGAGGGGAGGGGACAGTCTTCCCGCTCCCCCCGAAACCCTACTCACCACCCAGTTCCACGGATGACAATTCTGCACCCCTGCCCCCCAGCCTCACCGGGAGCAGGTGGGTCCCGGCTTCTTTACTGCCATGGTATCCACGCGGGCCTCATAGATCTGGTTGATGACCACGTTTCCCAGCTCACACATCAGCTTCAGCGGCCCCAGAACAGGCAGGGGGAGTAGGGGTGAGCCCCTGAGCCCTCAGGCTCTTCAGCCCTGTGTCAGCCCCACCCCCACCTATCTTCACTATACCCCAAGTCACCTTCACCAGTTCTGGCTCCCACGAATCAAGGGTCAGAGACCGGACTTTGGAGAAATGGACACCAAGGCTCCTGGAGGGCCAGAATGGAAATCAGGCCCTGTATGGGGCTGTGGGATAGGAGGCTGCTGCTCCTGAGAAGTCCTAAGCACCAGTCCTTCCTGGTGCAGGGGGAGCTGGACCAGGAGGCAGCAGGGCAACTGGAGCCAGGCAGCCTCTGTCTGGTTCTGGAAGGATCCTTCCCACTCACCATTCCCTCCTTCCCTGCACTTGATTTTAAGGCCCTCATCTTCCCTAGTCACATCCCTCCTCTGACGGTTGTTGTTATGTGAGTTGTCTCCAACTCATAATGATGGTGCTTGGGTCTAGACTACTCTCTGTGTCTCCCCTTCCCCCCTTCCTCCAAACCTACTGGCTAAAGGCTTCTTGTCTGTGCTCTCCCATCCTCCTCCAGCCAAGCCAATAAATTCTTGGAGAGGGGAGTCCCCAGTCCTGCCCCAGACTGATATACCCAGGTCCACCTGGTGTCCAACTATGCTCAGCCCAGGCCTGGTCCCCAGTGACAGACAAGAACCTAAGAGCGGAGGCAGGTAGGAAGAGAAATGACCAGTAGGGTGGGCTCAACTGGGGGAGCTGCGTGCAATTAGAAGGGATGGGGTCCACAGTTGGGACCTTGGTGAGGGAATGACCTGTGGATGCCGGAGCACTGAATGCAGAGGGTTACTCCAAGGTTGATGCTGGCCCACTCCGGGGCTGGCTCCCGACAGTCACAGCACTGGGCATTGCCATCCACACTTTGCACCTGGGCTGCCACATACCCGACTCCCCCAGACTCCCTGCTCCTGCCCACCCCACCACCACCCAGTGTGGCAGCAGAGCCTGTGGCCAGGTGTCCTGAGGCCTGGGGGTGTCAGGGAGAGAGAGGAGAATCAGACGACCCTCAAGAAGGGCCCTTGTCTCCCCAGATAGCCACATGCTGCTCTCAGTGTCAGAGTACCTGGCCGGGAGCCCAGGGACTGTCATCAGGAAGGGCCTGGCTGAAGGCTGTGGCGATGCTGCTCTGCACGGCGTTGACCCACAACTGCAACAGGCGCTCTGAGTCTGCCTGGAGGAGGCAGGACCTGGGCCAGAGGGTCGAAGGAGGTGAGGGTGGGCAACTAAGGCCTGGGGAGCCATGTGCCAGGCTGGGCTGGCTGACATTTAGCCAAGACTCAGCTAGTATCAGTTGTATTGATCTATTTCCGCATCAATTGATAATATCCTCCTTTAGTATATTTATATACTCGTTACCCTGGACGCTCCACCCAGCCACCCTCTAGACTGGACCACATCTAGCCACCAAAGGGTGAAGGCCTGGAGTCGCATGGATGCCTTAGACTCTGCTCCACACATGCCCTGACTCTGCTGGCAGAGTCTGTAGCAAGGTATGCTGCTAATGTAGAGCTCTTGCCTCTCTGGTGGTTCGAATCCACCAGTGGCATCTGAAGGAGGTGGCGGGGGGGGGGGGGCATCTCCTCCCATAAAGATTTACAGCCTCAGAAGCCTAGTGGAGTGTCACTATGAATCAGAAGCAACTCCAGGGAGTGTGAGGTTTTGAGTCCTCAGGAGGGTAAATACTTCAGCATCAACATGAGCGTGCCCTCACTTGCTGGGAGACACCACTTCAAAGCAGAACCGTCTTTCTGAGTCAGGACAGAGTTTCACTGTGCAGAGCCGGAGGTCATCGACAACCACGGTCACAGGGTCCTGGCGAGTGATATGGTCAAGCGGCAGCCATGCAGCCATGGGGTGAGGGCTGAGTTTCTCTGGGACCCCGGCTGCCAAGCACTGGAGCTACTCACCTTGTACTTCTTCTGATACACTAGCTGGTTGCTCTGAATGGTGAACCAGCGCCTGGAAGAGGTGAATGTGAAGTTACAGACAGAAAGAGCCTCAGGAGAAGGCCTAGAAGCCAGGCGGCGCCTGTTTCCCATAAAGAGCTTGCTGAAAGCAGAGGTGAAGAGCTGAATGTCCCCTGAGACATTCCAGAGGAGGGTGGACATCTAAGCAGGGGCTATTTACACCTTGGACAGATAGATTTATGAAGGAACATGCTTTTTCTAAGGAAATAATAATTCTATTACTTTTTTTTCTTTTTCCAAATTGAATTATCTCAGAGAAGGAGCGTCATTTTCTAGTATGTGCTGGCAGTGGTGCTCAAAGGGGACGAAGTCACATGAGAGCATATCCTCACCCTGCTCCAAACCCTGCGGGAGGCTCGCCTGTCCCCTCAGAGGAAAGTGAAAGTCCCCATGAAGGCCTACTCGTTAACTCTAACTTCATCTCCTACTGCTTCCTTTTCCCTCTTCGTGTCTAGGCTTCTGGCCTCTTCTTTGTTTCTCAAACACTCCAGGCATCTCAGGGCCTTAGGATTGATTGACTCATCCTGCCTAGAACATTCTTCCCCCAGATGGCCTTCCAGCTCTTCGCTCAGAAGTTGTCACCTCCTGGCCTTCACCGACCTCTTATTTGAAATGACAATCCCTCCCAGGTTTTCACCTACACCTACTTTTCCTCTTACTTGATACATATCCCCCCATAGCACCTTCTAACATAGCACATAATTTAATTGCTATATCCACTATCTATCTTTGCAAGTGGAATTTTAAACTCTTTGAAGACAGAGGTCTTGTCTGCCTTTAATGGCTGTGTCTAGCATACAAGAACAGCTCAAGCAAACAACAGCTTCAATGTCATCACCTGCTCCAAGTCTTGAAAGCATTGCTAGCCCGCTTGAAGAGATGCCCCTCCATGACCACGCCACAAGGTCCCTCTTTTAGGGTCAGCTCTGGCTCTTCTCCACCCAGTTCCTGGGGAACGAGAGAACCAGAGGGCAACTGAGCTGGACAGAGAGCAAGGCCCCAGGCTGCCCGGCCTCAGTGGGCAGCCTCAGCGCCTCACCTTCTGCTTCAGCAGCACATGCCTCTGCTCCATATCCCTCTTCTCTCGTGCCGAATTCAAGACTAGCTGGTGTAACTGGGCAGAGTAAAGGGGGCTCAGAATCCCCTGATCTTACCTCTCAGAGGTATCTGCCAGCAGAGTCATTTCCAGGCCCCCGGCCCCCAACCTCCTTCTATTCCGCCTCCTGTTACCTGGGCACCTAGCTCTTTGCGGTACTGGCCCAGCCGGCTCAGCTCCTCATGGCCCTGCTGGAAATGGGCAGATTGGGCCTCTACCAAGCGCAGCACCTGGGGGCACGGGACAGAGTCAAGGAAGGAGCTCTCTCTCCTTCTCCCTCCCCCCTCTACAGGTTCATCCCCACTTCACCATTGACACCACAACTCACAAACTCCATTATGTCAAACTTCCTCTTCTCCTCAATCACATTAATCTGAGGGCCCACCAAAAGACCTCAGGTCAGTCAGGAAAATACGACTCCTTCCCACCTTATGCTAGGAATGCCCCAGCCTCTGCTGCCCAGGGGGCACACAGGAGGGCAGGCTGCAGGCCGGTACCTGCAGAGTGTAATCCAGTGCCCGGCCCCGGTATCCAGCCCGAGCAGTCCTCAGAGCAGCTCCTGCCTCTTCAGCTTCCTGGGCCCGGCGCCTGGGCACCTCTGCATTGTGGGTGAGCGCAGCCTCCAGGCCCTCAGCCCCCCGCCAGAAATCCCTGCGAGCCTCTCTGAAAGCCCGGAGACCCCTAGGGATGAGGGTGGACAGTACTGAATCACAAGCCACCCATTGGTCCTGACCCCTGATCCCCGCAGAAACCCCAGCACAAGGCCCACTTGGGTCCTTTCAGTCTACCTGTATTTTCAGTTGCTGTCAAATTAACCCCTGACAAATGGTCCCATTCCCCATGGCCATCCCATGCATGAGACTGGACCATTACGATTCACAGAATTTTTTTCCTGGGTTGGTTTTCAGAGGATCGCCAGGGGCTTCCTTCCTAGAATGTCTTAGTTTGCAAATGCTGTTGAAATTTGCACCTGAGGTATACTGGCCAGGAATCAAACCTGGGTCTCCTCTACAAAAGGCAAGAATTTTACCACTGCCCCACCACTGCCCACAGTGGCCCTGCCTACATACAATCTGAAATCCATGGGGATCCTTGGGATGGTGGGGACAGAAGTCGGGCCACCTGAAACTCAGTCTCACATCCCAGAGACATCTGAGAAAGAGGTGATGATGTTGAGGGGAACAATTCCTTCCTTCCAGGAAGCCCCCATGGCAATGGGAAGAGAGCTGGAGAACAGGCTTCTGAGAAAGGAGGTCAACTCACTCCTTGACCAAGGTCTGGATCTGCTGCTGCAGCGTGTGCTGGGTAGCATCTAGGAGCTCCTGAGGGAAGCACGAGTTGGAGGTGGGGGTAGAAACACACAGCTGAGGCTTTCCCACCAGCCCCATCTCCACACACTCACTGCATGGCTGTCCAGTTTGTGGCCCAGGCTTTCGGTGAATTTTTCCAGACACTCCTAAGTGAAATGGACATGGGGAGAGTACCAGGCATGGGAAGTGGGGCCCTTCTGGTGCTAGACCCAGCCTGCCACGGGCATCCTGGTCTGCCCTGGGTCCTGTGAACCTCAGAGTCAAGCTTCCTCCTTGATCGGACCTCCCAACATCCCACACTCCACCTAGTCCTGGTTGGGGCCCTCCACCTACTGCCATCATAGGTTCCGGTGGCCCCAGGTGGCCCAGGTCACAGATGCCGGCAATGAAGGCGCGGCCAGCAGCAAGGTAATGGCGCCCACTTTCCAAAAGGGATGTGCCCAGCTTGAGGAGCTGGGAGGGAACAGAGAGGAGCAGGGAGTTGAGCTGGCTGCCCTCACTCCTGGTAAAACCTTAACACTATGCCACTTCTTCCCTCACACACCACCCTACACCACATCCCTCACACCTGCTGACACCCTGACTCTATGCCACTTGCTCACTCACACACCAGTCTACACCGCATCCCCCACACCTGGTCTATACTTCTCCCAGCTCAGTCCAGCTCTCTCAGGTTTTCAGCATACACCTGGTATATTCTCAGCTCTGCTTTGCTTGCCCAGCCCTGTATCTGAAATAAGCCTCCTATCCATACTTTCCGAACTGTTGCTAGACCAGAGTCAACTTTATCTTTATAGGGTCCATCCCTGTTCATTCCTCCACATCTATCCTTGTCTTGCTCCACCTGCCTGGACCCAGCACCCTCTAGAAACTCCTTCACACACCGTGTGAAGAACTTTCCTTGTGGCTGGCCTTAAGTAACATAGTACTTCCTGTTTATACTCCCATTCTACACTTATTGAGTAGATTCAAACTCACAGATGCCCTCCATCCGATTGTAGAGAACACTGCTTATCTCTCACCCAAGGACTGCCTGATGGATTCAATCTGTTGACGTTTCAGTTAGCAGTGACACATGTAACATATGACCCACCAGGGCTCCTTCTAACTGACAGACAAAATTGATGAATGTCATTCTTGTGATTATGTCTGTATATCTATATATACATAAAAGGGAGGTCTGGTGGCCTGGTGGTAAGAATCTGCACTGCAGTTCCAAAGGCACATGGTTCGAATCAACCTGCTGCTCCAAGGAGATGGATGGGCAATCTCCTCCTGTACGATTTACTGTCTCTGAAAACCTACTGGAGAGTCAACTATAGGTTGACTCTGACTCGACACTACACAACAACAACAACAATATACATATACAGACTCTATCTTGCTAGTACACGTGCAGAACAGGTTGCCAAACTGAGAATGCCTTAGGAAGAGGACCACATGAAAATGAATGGCAGAGAAGATGAAGACTTGTGCCTAAACCAGCTAGCGAGCCTCATCTGATGCTGCAGCCCTGGCCAAACCCTGGACAGCAGCCTGTGAGGCCTGAAGCACAGGACCCAGATGAGTCATACCTAAAGTCCAGGCCTGCAGAAACTGAGATTGCTCATATTGTGAAATCACTAAGTGTGATCATTTGTTACATGATGATGTAGAAAATTAATAAAGGAAGTAAGTACAAAACACTTCAAATAAAGTGTTAAGTGTTGTTGTTGAGTACTGTCAACAGAAGTGACTCACAGAGGACCCCCCTGGGGGCTTTCAGAGGTAGTAAATCACATGGGAGGAGACTACCTCTCTTTCTAGATGGTGGATTTGAACCATGTACCTTTAGGTTGGCAGCACAATTCCTTACCACCAAGCAGCTAAGGGTAACAGGAGTCCCTGGGTGGTGGTGCAAATGGTTAATGTGCACAGCTGCTGACCAGAAGGTGAGAGGTTTTAATTCACCCAAAGACTCCTCAGGGGAGAAGCCTTGGGGTGTACTCTGCCCTGACACCCACTGGCTCACCCTGTGTTGGAACCAACTGGACAGCAATTGTTATTTGTTAAGTTGGCAGTATCTGCTGTGCATGCACAAAAGTGCAATGTTTTTACAGGGTAGGGGGGAGTATTGTGTTTAAACGTCTCTATGGTTTTTTGTCTACAATTAGTCTACATAAGATCTGGGCTAAGATAATGCAGGTGCTAGGAGCTGCTCCTTGAAGGCTCAGAACTAATTTTTAGCCTCCCCGTAGACTCCAAAACATGTACCCCATACAGTCAACTTCAGTAACATCCTAACATCAGTCCCTACCACTCCTTCCCCTCCACCCTACCCCTCTCATTTCCTCTCTTCTCCTGGCCCCTTCTCATCCTGCTTCTTCTGGGTTTCGTCTCTCTGTTAGAATCACCTTTTCAAGACGGGTCTCCAATTCTGACACTTCGGCTTCCACCAGTTCGATAGAGGCTCTAAGAAAGGAGGATTAAGGTCACGGGAGCAGAGCTGGGACTGTCAGCCTCCTGAGGGTTGGGGGGCTAGGATCAAGGGGTAGTGGATGCAGAGAGCTGCTGGGTGAGAGGACCCACCCATGTGCCCTTTCTTGCTTGCTTGCTCCCTCTGCTCAGTCCAAGGTCTACTGCAGCCCAGGCCGGATGCAGGGTGGATGTGGCCAAGGCAGGAAGTTGCTAACCGCCCTAGCAGGGCAGGAACGGGGGAGGGGTAGAGTTGGGGTCTCAGAAAGAAGGAACAGGGAATGCCAGTTCTGTAGAGTAATGAGAGATCATAGAAGCCAGGAGGTACACACAGGTGCATGGAGGGTACCCAGGTCCCCACATCTGCTAGTAAAAAGTACCACTTGGGCCCACAGACTTGCTCTTTTCTCTTTGGGGCCTACCGCCTAGAAGGAGATATGAGCTGGTGTATGGAGAGGGGGCTGTGTGTGTGGGGGGAGGGTGTGGACCTTACCCTCTTCCCCTTCCTCCATCTCCAGGCCTACACATACTTACCGGAACCTGGGTGAATCCTTTAGACACTCCTCAAAATCCAGCTTGACGGTCATCTTGAGGGTCTATGGGCCACAGGCCCTGGAGGCCACGAGGCAGGTGGGGAAGCGAGCCAAGGAAGGGAGGTGATGATGGACAAGGTCTATTGTCTGTAGGGCCTGAGGTGCACCAATTTTCTCCCCAAGGGAAAGGGGTGTCCTAGGAGCAGCTCTCACCCCACACTTCTGGGCAGACCTGGGAGGGGCAGGGGCGGGGCCAGGGCGGAGGGGGCCTGAGATCAGAGAAGCCACAGGCCCGCCCTGAGACTGCAGTCACCTTCCTGCCGGACCCTAACCTCTGCCTGCTTCTCCTTTAGAGGTTCTGGCACATTCCAGCTCTGTCACTCAGAGGCTGTGTGGTCCTGAACAAGCTATCTGGTTCCTCAGCTTCCAGACCTGGAAGAGGAGGATGAAAGCTCCTACCTATGGGATTGCTGCAAGAATAGAATAAAGATGTCACCAGTGCATTTGTGATGGGCTGGATGCATCGCACCAGGTTTGGCTGGCTGACTGCCCTTGCTGTGGCCAGGGGCTGCTCAGGCTGCTTCTCTGCTGACCCAGCTCTAGGTTCCTTTCCTCCCTCCTCCCCTCCTTTTCTCTGATGGACAAAGCCACTCAATTCACAGAACCCAGACTCCTGCTCTTTCTTCTTTATTGTGCACGTCTAGGGTGGTGAGGCAGGCGAGGTTATCCCCGCCCCATGCCCTGCTGGCTGCATCCTCCACTGCCTTCTCTTCTCCTCCTGATCACATCGAGGCCTCACAGTTCCATCTAGAGAGAGCAAGGGTTAGGTTAGTGTTTTCCTTGCAACCAGCATGAGATCTTTGCCCATATGACACCTCTGACTCCCCACAATCTACCCATTCAGGTCCTCTACTTCCCTGGAGTGTGCAAGCACCCTCAGCCCCCTTCTCAGGCTCACATCCTTGGACGTTCCAGTTTGGGGACATTTGGTTGCTTCTAGGTTACCTCTCTGAACCCCCTAGGCTTCTCCAGCTCAGCCCCTTAGTCACTAGCTGAATCAGTGTCAGAGGACACGACAGTATTTGGAGTAGGATGGGGTGGCAGAAGAGAGTCAAGGAGCAGACTTGGAGCTGGGAGTGATGCCAAGTTAAGTGGGTCCATCAGTGCTTCCTCTTCTATGTTAGCTCCAGGCTCAGGAGTTTAAGGCCTAGTCCACTGCCTGTTCCTGACCTAATAATTGCTTGAAAGGAATGAGGGAGTGGATGCAGGAACATACAAGGAGCCAAGTCCAGGGAAGTAGTGGCCTGTTGTCCTCACCTACCTAAAATGTCACTGCCACTGTCAGGGAGCTTTTGGTGGTATGGTGATCCCAAAAGGGCTCCCTTTGCAGTCCAAGAGACATACCTCAGTGTTGACTGGCTTCTCAATCACCCCAGTCAAGTTGGAAGAGCCTGGAAGTATCATGGGGCAGGGTTGGAAGCCATCAGTTGTTGGTCTCAGGCCCCCTGCACCAGCCTGGCCCAGGCCCCCTCTCACCATTCTGCTGATCATCATCTGTTCTCTCAGGCTCTGGGTGGGGATAGGACCTCAGGTATCTTCCTATGTTGTAATACTCTTTGGGCTGATGACCAACCTCTTGTGATATATGAGGGGCCAAAACTGGAGCCAGATTTCAGGAGGTAGAGGAATCCGGGAAGTCGTCCAGACCAATCTGAGTCATGTCTCCCTGGGATATTCCTGCCCCTTGGCTGGCTCTTACTGTTTCAGGCCCTACCATCATCCCTCATGGTTCTTTTGAACCTTCATTCATTCTCACAGGTCAGCCTGTCCTGGGTATCTTATCTTGAGTGAGTGGGGGACTCAACTCCGGCTGTCCTATGTCTACTTCAGGGTCCCATCTTAGCATTACCTCCCCAGGAAGGACATCCAAGGGCTATAACAGGGAAGAGAGGAACTAGCTATGAATTTTAGTCTCTTGAGTTCCAGGGACTCTTCACCCACAGCTGACCCTTGCTCTCCATGCTGCGGTTCTTGGTCGTGGAGCCAGTTTCATCTTCGATTCCTCTGGCCAGTTTTCCTGCCCAGCTTTTCTCTTCAGGCCTGGGCTCTGGGGGCAGCACCACACCCTGACGGCCACTGCTGGTGCCTGCATACCCACAACTGTTGTCCTCCTCTTTATCCAAGGGTAAAGTTTCCCGAGTCTTAAAGAGCTTCCCTTCATCATAGTTGGCCTTGCGGTGCTTCACAAAATCATTGGAAGCTGTGAGCCAGTGAGTCAGTGAGAGCTTGCCATCTCTCCCAGAAGGCTCATTCCACCTTCCCTTTCCATTCAACCCCCACGCCTCATTTCACATGTCTGGGAAGGGCTGTCTGGATACCCTGAGATCCTGTTGTCACCATATTGGAGGACCTTTGGGTTGACATTATCCATCGTTGCAAGCCTGAAGGGGAAGGAGAGTAGTTGGAGACGAGAAGAGAAAGAGCAATGGATGCAGATGGTGGACAGGTGGGAGCAAGCTGTCAGGATGTACAGATGGTTCTTGGGCTGATCTCTAGGAGGACCCTCACCTCTCTACCAGCACCTCAGGAGTCACTGTGTGCAAGGACCTTGGGGACAGGCTCTCATTGCTGAGCGGCAGCCTGCAGTGGAGGGATGGGCCATGTGGGGGAGTGGGTATCAGGGCATCCAGTTTTGAGGCTTCTCTGCCTCAGATGTCCTCTTTTCCCCCTTTCTCTGTTGGAACTGGGAGGAGCTAGGGCTGAGGGCTCAGCACCTGTTGTAAGGAGTGCCCGGCTCATCCACCTTCATCAGTCCATAGTCTTTGTCAGTAGGGTGGTAGGTGGTCAAGATATTAATTTCATCCCAGTGCGGAGACTTTTTCCTGGTCAGGGGTGAAAAGGATGCAGGAAAGTGGTTGTTGTTGTTGTTAGGTGCTGTCAAGTCAAATACGACTCCTATCAACCCTATGAACAGCCAGTCTGAAAACTTGCCCTATCCTGTGCCATTCTCATTATCTCTGAGACTCTAGAGCTCACTGCAGAAGTCTCCAATTATTAATGGCTGTTTGCAGCTGTTTCTCTTTATTTCAAGTAACTTCCTACTTGGGCTCTATGTCTAATACTGTAACTACCCAATATCATATGGATTTTGAAGGCCTATTTTTTTGGAAGTGGATGGCCAATCCTTCCTAGTCTGTCTTAATCTAGGAGCTCTGTTGCAACCTCTCCATCATGAGTGACTCTTCTGGTACCTGAGACACTGGTGGCACTGATTAGGGGCATTAGGGGACCCCACAAACCACACCAGTATAGCAGACTGACAGATCAGTGCTGTACCAACAGGAGCAAACAATAGCACTCAAACATATAAGATACAAAAAAAAGGGAACATCCTAGTGATGGCTTCTATACAGCCTCCTCTCAGTCTATCATTCAAAAAGATCTTTTTGTACCGACCTTATAATTCCTGTCACATGGTGGCAGGAATATAGAGGGTCAAACTCAATGATAAACATCTATTCAGCAAGGGTTTACCCGATCCCTGCTACTCTCCCTAAAGGCCCATAACCAAACAAAACCCCACCATCTTGGTAGAGTTGATTCACAGCGACCCTATAGGACAGAGGAGGACTACCCCATAGAGTTTCCAGTGCTGGAAATATTTATAGAAACAGACTTCCACATCGTTCTCCCGCAGAGTAGCTGGCACCACTGAACTGCCAACTTCTCGGTTAGTAGCTGAGTACTTTAACCGCTGTACCATCAGGGCTCCTCTAAAGACCCAAGCCCTCAGAATTCCCAACAGCTGTGCTTTACCTACACGTCCCTCTGAGCTCGGGACCACGCCTCTTCCCACCTGGCTCCGCCCCCTCCGGTGTCCAGAACCACCCCCCCCTCCAGGATCTGACTGCTAGTCAGCGGGGTTTGGACCCCTTGCTTCTCTGCCCTGAAGGATTTCTGGTCAAGGTGGGACTATTTTTAAGGATGCTCTTTGGTCGATCGTCATAGGAATTATCGGGACGCGGAGCAGATTCCCAGCTGTACACCCCAGCGCTCCTGGACTGGGGACTAGATGCCCCGATGACGCTGGGGCCAGGGTTGTTGATTCCAAAAGGATATATGCTGGGCCCAAGACTATGGCCTGCAGCCCCTGCATGGTGTTGATTGATTCCAGAAGAGAGGGTCTTAATTCCCCCAGGAGACCGGCTGAACCCAGGACTGAGGACTGCGCCTCCCATGGTGTGCAAGGAGGGTTGACAGCCGTGAAACAAGATTATTCCGGAGAAGAAACCAGTTTTTGCCTGCTCCTCTTCTGTGGTTCCTCTGGGCAACTCCCTGGCTGCCACCTGGAGGGATTCTCTGTCGAGGCCGCCAGAGGCCCCCAGAGGACGGGGCTTCTCCATGACCCCACTGGGGGCCACCCTCAGCTAGCCGGCCCCGCCTCCCTGTTCTGCGCGGCCCCGCCCCTATGGCGACGACGAAGATTGGGGGAGGGGGGAGGAGGGAGGGGCCGTGTGCCCTGGGGCACCGGTTTCTGGGTGCTGCTGTGGGCGTTATCAGGATCCTGGGTTGGGAACTCAGCTTGCAAACCCTTCTATTCCTCCTTCCTTTCCTATTCCACCCACAGACCTTCTTTGTCTCTGGGGTATGCGTTCCCGTCCTTCTTCCATCACTGGAAGCAATAACCTTAATCGTGACGTCATTGTTCCCTAGCTTTGTAACGGAGACTAGAGGAAGACTGTTGCTTGGAAATGTGTATCAGGAAACTTTAGAATCCTTATTCATAGTTTTAAGTTAGATTTTGGTTAAACTTTGTGTGAAACATCCACAAGCATCTCTTTTTTTAAAAAAAAAGCTCTGCCTCCGTGAAAGGCGTGAGGTTAAGTGGAGGGATTGCTAGGTAGGAGTGTCACAAGCCATTCCCAGTCTCGGCAGCGAAGACGGCACAGACTTTCATTTCACCTCTACAAGGTCTCTAGACCGCGAAACAGCAGCTTTAAAGCTTAAATTGGAAAGAAGAACCTCTCCTTGCCGTAAAGCGAGTATTAATTCAGTGTCACCGCCCTCAATGGGGGCGGGGTAGTTCATGCCAATGTCGCAAAACTTAGCGTTCGGGAGTTAGCACCCCCTCCGTCGTAAAGCTGCCTTCAGCATCGTTTCCTCCTACTGTCGCAAAAGCTTAAGTCTTCGCCCCGCTGGGAGCCACTCCGTTAGTCCGCCGTGCCGTAAAGCAAGCCTGCCAGACTCCGTCGTCCTGTCGTCCTTCCGCTCCCACCGTGCTAGTCACTAGTTCCCCAGCCCGGGATGCTTGACTGCCCAGCAGTGCCGTAAAGCATACCTGGCTCCAGCCCCCGGGTCCTATCCCCTCAGGGTGTCGGTCCATCGCGGTTGCCACGGTGCCGCCAAGCGCGGCTGTCGCGCGACCCCGGTGGCAGCGGCGATGGCAGCAGGGTCGGGTGGGAGTGGGGGCTTTGGGGGGGGGCCCGGGGCAGGGACAGGAGGGGGTGGGGGGCCCGGTGGGAGTGGCCCAGGACCGGGGTCCACTGGAGGGCTCAGTAGCGGCGGAGAGCTGCACCCACGCACCGGGCGGTTGGTGAGCCTGTCGGCTTGCGGGCGTACTGCGCGGCGGCAGCAGCCGGGCCAGGAGTTTAACCATGGGCTCGTGTTGAGCCGGGAACCCCTTCGCGATGGACGCGTCTTTACGGTCCGCATCGACCGCAAGGTGCGGAGCTGAGGCTGTGGAACCGATACTGAGAGGTGGGAGGTGACCGCATCCAGGTACCAAGGACGGGCAGAAAGGGATCATGGGACAGAGACATTCTGTCGGTAGGAGAGACAAGGAAAGCTTGGGGACCACAGAAGACGGGCTAATAAGGAGCATGGCTGGGGACCAGACCTGGAACAATTTCTTGGGTGCTAAGGCTATAGAGACGTCAGGGATGTGATAGAAGGGAGCAAAGAGAGAACTGAAAGATGGATGAGGGGGATTCCTCAGGGAGATGGGGGTCTTTGTGATTTAGTAAGGAAGCATTAGAAATAGAAATGGAGAGAAAAGTCAGTCAGATGGAGTGGGAGAGCCTGAGAGAGCCAGCAATTAGAGTGATGGAAGAGGATGAGGGTCAAGGGAGGCATGTAAATTTGGGTAGTTGAGGGGCCAAAGAGACCAGGGAATTAAAGGAAGCCAGGAGATGAAGCCAGGGAATGTAGTGCCAGGTTGCTAGGGGACAGTGGTAAGAGTCTAGAGAATGACCTGTTGGCCTTGGCTTGATGAGTGTCTCCAAGAACACTGTCCATGAGATGGGAAGCAGGACATGTGGTGCCTGGGTGCCTGTGGAACGTGACACTGCTGCTGCCTCATCTTGAGCTTTTCTTTACTCCCACCCATTACAGGTTAACTCCTGGAGTGGCTCCATTGAAATTGGGGTGACAGCGTTGGACCCCAGTGTCCTGGATTTCCCAAGCAGTGCCACGGGGCTGAAGGGAGGCTCATGGGTAGTGTCGGGATGCTCGGTTCTACGAGATGGACGCTCTGTGCTGGAGGAATACGGGCAGGACCTGGACCAGCTCGGTGAAGGGGACCGAGTGGGCGTGGAACGCACGGTGGCCGGAGAGCTTCGGCTCTGGGTGAATGGGAGAGACTGCGGTGTGGCCGCCATGGGCTTGCCAAGTCGAGTCTGGGCTGTGGTGGACCTTTACGGCAAGTGCACCCAGATTACTGTGCTGCCTTCTGAGCCAGGCTTCAGCCCCCCTGCTCCCAGCCCTGTGCCTGCCCTTGAATCCTCTGTACCCCCTGAAGATTCTACCTTGGCTGATCAGGGGGCCTCTGGAGATGAAGGTGAGAATGCAGCTGAGATGGTGGTGGAGGGATGGGGGCTGAGGGCAAGGCTGAAGGAGAGGGGGTACAGTGACAGATGGTGGCCAGTGTTACTCAGACTCCCTAGTCATATGAGGGGGTAAGCAGGGCTCTCCTGGCTGTGGGTCCTGATACAGGGGCTAAAACCTTATTTCCCTTATTCCTACCTGGTCCTCAGCCTTCATGGTGTCCCCAGCGCAGGCCCAGCAGGCCCGGCCAGAGACGTTTCCTAACAGCCTTGAGTCACATAATGGTGAGGGCTTAAGGAGGTCCTGAGAAGGGGAATGGGAAAGGGCGGTGGCCAAGGGTGAGGTCTCTGGGGGTCCTTGGGAGGGAACACCTGAGATTGGTAGGGGTCACACCACATCAGTCGCTTCTCTCCTGTAGGCTTTGCCAGTATGGAGCTCTCCGAGGTGGTGAGCAATGCCATCCTGTCTGCCTACAATGGGGGCCTCCTGAATGTGAACCTGAGCTCCCCACCAGCAGGAGAGGCCTCAGGGTCTAGCTGCGCTGCCACCTCACCCATCCTCACTTCCAATGATGCCCTGCTGTTTCATGAGAAGTGTGGGACCCTCATAAAGCTCAGCAACAATAATAAGACTGCTGAGCGCCGCCGGCCCCTAGACGAATTCAACAATGGGGTCGTCATGACCAATCGCCCCCTCCGTGACAATGAGATGTTTGAGGTGTGTGAGGTCTTGGGGTCCAATTGGCTCCTTGTCCAGCTGAGGGTGAAGTGCCCTGTTCTTGATGCTGGGGAGGCTGGGGCCTGGTGGAGATGCCAAGATTGAGGCTCCTTTCTTTGTGTTCCCTCACCTCTCCCTGCTCTTACTCTCTCTGTTCTTGCTCTAACTCAAGATCCGCATCGACAAGCTTGTAGACAAGTGGTCAGGCTCCATTGAGATTGGTGTCACTACACACAATCCTAACAGCTTGGAATACCCAGCTACTATGACCAACCTTCAGTCAGGTACCAGCCTCAGATGGGATTTGGGGGGTTTGTGCCTGGGTGTTGCAGAGGGGAGAGAAGCCCATCCCCTAAGTAGAGTGCTCATCTTTACCCAGGCACCATCATGATGAGCGGCTGTGGGATCCTGACCAATGGCAAGGGTACTCGCCGGGAGTACTGTGAATTCAGCCTGGATGAGCTGCAGGTGAGCGTGGGCCAGGGCTGCCGGGAAACCACTGTGGGCATCCTATGTCCCTGCCCTGGCAAAACAACAAATCTGTTTCTCTTTTTCGGAAGATTCTTTCTAAGAGGGCAAGTTGCCTGACCACCAGGCATTCGTATTTTTGAGTCACCTGGATTTATTTCTTTTGTACCTCAATGTTTGAGGTGACAAATTCAGATAAGTTGGAGTGGGTTTTTTTACCCTCCAATCTCAAAAATAGAGAGTTCTGGTGTCCTAGTTGGTAAGGAGTTGCCCTGTCAACCCAAAGGCAGGTGAACGTAGGCATATTTGTTCATATTTGAACTACCTGTTCAAATCCACCAGCTGCTCTGTGGTGGGCAGTCTTCTCCCATGCAATTTACAGCCTTGAAAAATCTGGAAGGTCAGCTGTGAGTCGATTCCGATTCAGCAGTCGTGAGAGAGAGAGCATAATCTCTAAACTGAGTTTGTAAATTCAATAAAACTATGAAAGATTGAGTCCGTGAAGGCAAAAACTTGCCAGACAAGAAAAATGCAAATATTTTTCACTAATACAGGGTGGTCGAAAAACTTTTCTATGACAGCATGAAAAACTGGGCAATCCCTTTGAGTTCCATTTAATGGATTTCTAGTTGTGGGTTAGCACATGCTTACAGGATGGCTTTGTGGCTCAGTGCAGGCTCTTGACACATATTAAGCATCGTTCAGTCACTGTATAATTGCCATGCGCGGGAGCTGGGGACCCAGGCCTGCCGGCAGATGTTCCATTTTTGTCTGAGATGATGTGAACATTGGGAACGGTTTCCCTGTGGAACTGGTGGTGGGAATATTCCAGGACCCCTCTGATGCCATGGTCCACAGGGCACATCTGTACCCTGACTGTGGATGAATTCTATACCCATTCTTTTTCTCCTTTGAGCAGGAGGGTGACCACATTGGTCTCACGAGGAAGTCCAACTCTGCCCTGCACTTCTTCATTAACGGCATCGATCAGGGTGAGCCTGTGCTCTTAGAGTTCTGGGGCCCAGGGCTTCTAGGAGGCAGGTGGTGACTGTGCTCTGTGCCCCTTCTTCCTCTTCCCCTTAACGCTTCTCCCCTTCATCCTTGTGCCTTCCTTTCCAAAGGTGTGGCCACCCCATTGACACCCCCAGTGGTGTATGGTGTTGTGGACTTGTACGGGATGGCAGTGAAGGTGACCATCGTCCACAATAACAACCACAGTGATCGTCTGCGCCGAAACAATGCCATTCTGCGGGCACTGTCCCCCGAAGGGGCCCTCCGTCGTGCGGTTCCTGCTGCCCAGGCTGAGCCCGAGCGCCTCTTGTTCCACCCCAATTGCGGCCAGAAGGCTGCCATCACCCATGAGGGACGCACCGCCCTGAGGCCCCAGTATGACCCATGGGGTGGGGAGAAACTTACATAAGGGGCTCTACTGGGATCGTGGGGAGGAGTGAGAGAGTGGGAGGTTTTGGGGAGTCCTACGTAGAAGGGGTAATCTCCTGAAAGGCAGGATTGAGCTGGAGTGGTGGGGATTTGGCAGCCATCAGCGGGTGAAGCTTTAGGGTGCTCAGAGTGGAGATCTGAGTTCCCCTTTTCTCTTCCTTCAGTGCCACTGATGACTTTAATCATGGCGTGGTGCTGAGCAGCCGGGCCCTGCGGGATGGAGAGGTGTTCCAGGTACGCATCGACAAGATGGTGGACAAGTGGGCCGGCTCCATCGAGATTGGTGTCACCACTCACAACCCTGCCTACCTCCAGTTGCCTTCCACCATGACCAACCTGCGCTCCGGTGAGCTCACAAAGGGCATGGCCCCAGGAGGCAGCAGTAGCTGTGGCGTTGTCCTTCAGCATCTTGTTCACTTGCCGCACTTGTGACAACTCATTCATTGGCTGCTGACTAGTCTTTTTGGGTTTTTCTTTCCCCCTGCTTCGGCAACAAAGTCAATCTTACTGTGAAATAAAAAGCCAGCTGGCTTGTCAGTTCAGAACAGTGGGGTCAGGACTGCTCTTTGAAGGAGGTAGCCCTGCGTTCTCTCCCTCATAGCTGTCGCTCTGTATCCTCCTAGGGACCTGGATGATGACGGGGAATGGCGTGATGCACAATGGGACAACTATCCTGGATGAATATGGGCACAACCTGGACCGCCTCAAGGTGGGATCTTGGGTGTAGTGCCAGGCGGCCACAGTGGGCGCGGTTAGTAAGGTAGGGCTGGCATAGCCTCTGCTGCGGCCGGGACTCCGCCTGACTCCTCACTCCAGCACCCCCTTCTTCCAAGGCAGGGGACACGGTGGGTGTGGTGCGACGGGAGGACGGGACTCTCCACTTCTTTGTCAACGGAATGACCCAGGGCCCTGCTGCCTGGAACGTGCCCCCAGGTGTCTATGCTGTCGTTGATCTCTATGGTCAGGCAGCCCAGGCCACCATCGTGGATGACGTGGGTAAGGCCTGGGCTGGGCAGGGCCAGGGAGTTGTGGGGGCCTTGGAGACATCTCTAAGCCTGATGAGTGACATCCACTCTCAGAGGTGCCTCCTGTCCCTGAGCCGCTCCCTGAGGGAAACAACCAGGCCTCTCCTAGCTCTCCATCGTCAGGAGTGGGGGGCTCTGACCTGCGCTTCCATCAGCTGCACGGCAGCAACGCAGTCATCACCAACGGGGGCCGCACCGCACTCCGCCACAACTGCCGCAGCGAGTTCAATGATGCCATTGTTATTTCTAACCGGTCAGTGTCCGGCCCCTAATGTCCGCTCCTTCCTGCCCAGTGTCAGCTGCCCAGACAGGCCCTCTGACTGCCGCCCCATCCACTCACAGAGCCCTGCGTGATGGAGAGCTGTTTGAAATTGTAATTCAGAAAATGGTGGACCGTTGGTCAGGCTCCATTGAGGCTGGTGAGGGCCGTGTGTATACGTGTGTGTGTGTGTGTTCTGGGTTGAGACTGGGAGTTGCTGGAAGCTTGTGGTTGAGGGGTCGTCTCTGATTTCTGTCTCCGTCTCTCAGGAGTGACTGCTATTCGGCCTGAAGATCTTGAGTTCCCCAACACCATGACAGACATTGACTATGATACGTGGATGCTGAGGTTGGCTTGCCTGCTTTTGGAAGCATGTGGACTAGGCTGGGCATAGCTGCATAGGGTGAGGGAAGCACTGTTTGGAGCATCTGGTGGTCATGGGCAGCTGACCACACGGTTCTATTAGACCTCAGCCCTACAGTGGCTACAGTTCTGTTTGCTTATAGGCTAGTTCCCTCACTGGGGCAGAGGGGTGGTGTCTTAGGGACAAAGGAGGTAGAATTTGGTCTCAGCCCTAGAGTGAGACCCCAGCCAGAGGTCTTGAAGGCATACAGACAGACATCATCTGGCAGGTGGGGTGTGGGTGTGAAGCTAGGTGGCTGACCCCTCCTACCACCCCCAGCGGCACAGCTATCATGCAGGACGGGAACACAATGCGGAACAACTATGGCTGTGACCTGGATGCCTTGGGCACGGGGGCCCGCATTGGGATGATGCGGACTGCCAAGGGTGACCTCCACTACTTCATCAATGGCCAGGACCAGGGCGCCGCCTGCTCAGGCTTGCCTCTGGGTAAAGGTGACTACTTTGTGGCTTTCAACCAGCCCCCCAAAGCCTGCTTCAGCCCAGGCTAGCGGGCTTCTAACCCCTTCCTGTCCTACCCAGAGGTGTATGCGGTGGTGGATCTGTATGGCCAGTGCGTCCAAGTGTCTATCACCAATGCCACTGGCCCCATGGACAACAGCCTGGCGACTAGCAACACAGCCACTGAGAAGTCCTTCCCCCTGCACTCCCCAGGTTCTGCCCTTCTCAGAGGGCGGGTTGGGTTTGTCTGCTTGGGACTTATATCCAGGGTGGAGAAGCTGTGCGAAGACAGGCAGGCTGCATAGTGACGTGCTAAAGGGAGGGAGCAGTGCAGGCTGAGAAGTGACCGGTGGTGGGAGCCCATGTGCTTTCCTGGGGGCTGGGGCGACATAAGCAGAGTAGCTAAATTCTCTGTAGCTGTTATAGCAGATAGCCCCCATATGAGTAATTTTAACAACCAGATTTATTTTCTCATAATTTAGGAGGTTAGAAGTCCAGATTCAGAGCTTCTGAGAGAAGATTTTCTCTATCTCTGTTGGCCCAAGAGAAGAAACCTTTTCTCTGCTCTTGGGCAGCCTTCGTGTCGCTTGGCGTCTCTCCCCATGTCTCCTCCTCTGTTTGATTGTTTAATCTCTTTTATGTCCCACAAGAGATTAACTCAAAAAACATCCCTTAATAATCCTATTTTATTAACATAGCAAGACAATCCATTCTCAAGTGGTATTGTAATCACGGGCATACAGTTTGGTTCTCACAACACTTATTTTGGGGAACACTGGACACACCAGGCTAGAGAATGGGTGTTGTTCAAAAAGCACTTTCGGTAGGTCTGGAAGGAATAACGGAGAGAGAGGGTCCAGTGGCTGCTCTTTGCTTGTAGTCTCTGCTCTGTTTGAGGCAGTCTGTTGATTGGGGCCTGCTGGTGCCTCACACCATTTCCTCTGGTCCTTTTTTTCCATAGTGGCTGGCGTGGCTCACCGCTTCCACAGTACCTGTGGCAAGAACATCACCCTTGAGGAGGATGGCACACGTGCCGTGCGCACGACTGGCTATGCTCATGGCCTCGTCTTTAGCACCAAAGAGCTCAAGGCTGAAGAAGTCTTTGAGGTGAACTATGGACATGTGACAGATGTGAACAGACTGCCCTGACCTTTCTGCCCTCTCCGTCCCTCCTGATGCGCCTGCTCACCTCTCACAGGTGAAAGTAGAAGAGTTGGATGAGAAGTGGGCAGGCTCCCTCCGGCTGGGGCTGACCACACTACCTCCGGGGGAGATGGGGCCGGGGGCAGCCGGCGGCCCAGGGCTGCCTCCCTCCCTCCCAGAGCTCCGGACTAAGACTACATGGGTGGTATCCAGCTGTGAAGTGAGACGTGATGGGCAGCTCCAGAGGATGAACTATGGCCGCAACCTTGAAAGGCTGGGGGTAGCGTATCTCCCTCTGGGTACAGGGTGGGGGTAACCTTGCTAGGGAGAAGTAAGTGACTGAGCAAGTCACGGAGAATGTGTTCTTTTATCACCTTGGTCCCAGGTGGGGAGCTGTGTGGGCATCCGCCGGGGTGCAGATGACACAATGCACATCCTGGTAGATGGAGAGGATATGGGTCCTGCCGCCACTGGCATTGCCAAGGTAGAAAGACCATCTTTGGGTTCAGGATGTGAGGGGGAGGGCTTCAGCCAGCCTGACACCCCCCCCCCCATGCTGTGTGTCCACAGAACGTCTGGGCTGTGCTGGACCTCTACGGGCCGGTGCGGAGCGTGTCTATTGTCAGCTCCACGAGGCTGGAGGAGCCAGAAGGCACCCAGCCCCCTTCTCCCAGCTCAGACACTGGGAGCAGAAGTGAAGGCGAAGAGGATGAGGAGGGCGAGGAGCGTGGGCGAGGTGTAAGGAGATCAGGGATGGGTGGCGGTGGCTACAGGAGGCCAGATCTCTGTCTGTCTGACCCAGGATGTCTGCTGGACAGGCTCAGGCTCTGTAAAATCAAGGGCAGACTGAAAGGGATGTTAAAGCTCAGTCTCTCCATTCCAGGGCCAGAATCCAGTGCCGGTCATGCCCACAGCTCTCGAGTTCCTAGAAAACCATGGGAAGAACATCCTTTTATCCAATAGGAATCGTACAGCCACTCGGGTAGCCAGCTACAATCAGGGCATCGTGGTCATCAACCAGCCCCTGGTGCCTCAGCTGCTGGTCCAGGTGGGCCTTCTTTTTCCCCAGGTGACCCAGAGCTAGCTTTGCTGGAGAAAGGCAAAGGACTGAGGGGAAGTGGCAGGCAGACCCCTTGGGTGAAGTTTCTGGGCTTTGGTCAGCCCTAACAGTGACTGTGTGGATCGGTTGGCACAGAGTTCCCCACTGGAATGCTAAGGCCTGTGGGAACAGAAGCGATGGGGGAACCTGGAGTAGTCGAGGTGATGCTTACTATGTATGAGGGCACGGAAAGGGAGGGAGCCTTTTAGCGGTAGACTGAGGGATGTGTCATACCTTTGAGGGTGCTGCAGAGGCATCAGCAAGACTAAGGTCCAAAGAGAAGGAAACAGCTGAATGCGGTTTCTGGTAGCTCTGAGCGTGAGCAGAGGTAGCATGCCGGGCCACACAGGGAGATGCGGTGCCTCGTCCTGGTGGAGGAGGAGGAGCCCGTTTCTGTGGATTAGGCAGCCTCTTCCTGGGGGCCATGACTAGAGAACAGTTTCCCTCCCTCAGGTGCGGATAGACTTCCTGAACCGACAGTGGACATCTTCCCTTGTCCTGGGAGTCATCACTTGTCCACCGGAGAGACTCAACTTCCCTGCTTCTGCCTGTGCCCTCAAACGGGCAGCCTGGCTACTTCGGGGCCGTGGGGTCTTCCACAATGGTCTTAAGGTGAGGAAGGAGCTAGACAGGAGAGGGCAAGACCCCAAGTCAGGAGAGCCAGGACAAAAGGAGGGAAGGTGGACCCTTAGCTCTGGACGTAAGAGTGTAGGAACAGACCGTGAGCTTGGGTGGCAGAGTCTGCAGGGTAGTGTCCCGCTAATGCAGAGGCTGCGCCTCTTGTAGAGGTTCGGATCCACCAGCAGCTCCTGGGGAGACAGCTTACCATCTCTTCCCATGAGATGGACGGCCTCAGAAGGCCCGCTGCAGGGCCACTGTGGCTCAATTTGAGGCCAACAAGCTGAGGTTTTGAGCACACTGGGCCTGGGTGGGCAAAGATGTGATTGTCTTAGCTGCGTCGGCCTTAGACTGGCCCCCTCCTCCTGCCTGCTGCCGTGTGGGGACCAGAAGGAACTGAAGTGACTGGTGCTGCAGCTGCCAGTGGGTAGAAGGCCAGTCTCTGGAAGACAGCAGGTCTCTCCTTCCAGATCTGTGAGAAGTTTGGACCAAATCTGGACTCGTGTCCAGAAGGCACCATCCTGGGACTGCGGCTAGACGACTCAGGGGGGCTGCACCTCCACATCAATGGAGTAGACCAGGGAGTGGCTGTAGCGGATGTCCCTCAGCCCTGCCACGTGCTCGTGGACCTCTATGGGCAGTGTGAACAGGTCAGTAGCAATGTGAGAGTGCCTGGGACACTGGACCAAAGAGGAGCGGACTGTGGTCAGAGAAGGGTCAAAGCAGGCCTGGGCATGGCCTAAACTCTGCCTGACCACCCCTCTCTGCAGGTGACAGTCGTGAGCCCTGAAATAGGGACTGCCTGTGGCAAGGGTGCTGCCACCCAAGGGGACATGGAGAAAGCTGACATGGTGGACGGTGAGGCATTCTGAAGGGACCAGGCTCTGACACCTCTAGCCTGTTACCCTCATGCTTGTAGCTGCAGCGCCTGTGACCCGTTGCCCCTCTGCTCCTCTAGGTATCAAGGAGAGTGTGTGTTGGGGTCCCCCCCCAGCTGCCAGCCCTCTAAAGAGCTGCGAGTACCATGCTCTCTGTTCCCGTTTTCAAGAGTTGCTGCTGCTTCCTGGTGAGTCTCCAGACCCTGCCTATGTCTGCCTCATTCCAGTCAGTCCAGGGCCGTGCAAGGGTGCTGGAGGCCATTGGAAGGGGGCAGTGTTGGGACCTAGGATGGGAGCCAAAGACCAAAACCTATTGCTTACTCTCCCACAGAAGATTACTTCATGCCTCCACCCAAACGTAGCCTGTGCTACTGTGAGTCTTGCCGGAAGCTTCGAGGGGATGAGGCCCATAGGCGGCGAGGCGAGCCCCCACGAGAGTATGCACTGCCCTTCGGCTGGTGCAGGTTCAACCTCAGGTACTTGTGGGTATGGGCATGCACTCCCTTTGTTCTTTGCTCCCTTGAGAAAGGTCGGCCCCCTGTGGGTACCTGGAAGAAAACGTCTTGTCAGGCGTGACCTCGAATAGCCATTACTTTGCTCCATCTGTCCCCTCCCAGAGTGAATCCACGCCTGGAGGCTGGGACACTAAGCAAGAAGTGGCACATGGCTTACCACGGGAGCAGTGTTGGGGCCATCCGCAGGGTGCTAGACCGAGGAGAGCTGGGAGCAGGTAATGTGTAGCAGGATGAGGGAGTGGGCTAGCCCTGTGGGCCTGGGAGGAATGAATGGGGTTTCCTTGTGCAGCAGGCAGAAGGGGCTGGCTAGCCCTATGGGCCATGGGAGGAATGAATGGGGTTTCCCTGACCCAATTGTCCGCACAGGTACTGCTTCCATCCTGAGCTGCCGGCCCCTGAAGGGTGAGCCTGGGGTGGGATTTGAGGAGCCTGGTGAGAATTGTGCACCTCCCCGGGAGGAGCAGCCCCCTCCAGTGCTGCTGTCTCCCTCCCTTCAATATGCTGGGTCTGAGACCCTAGCATCCAAAGTGCAGTGAGTATGCGCTGGGGGGTGGGGAGTCGGGGGAAGGGTCAGACAGGAGGGAGTCCTGGGAACTGGGTCTCCATTATCTGCCCTTTCTTCGCCTTGGCCTTGCTCATTTCCTCAGCCTCCCGAATGTTACTTCTCTCATTTATTTAATAACTAGCAATTATTTTATGCCACTTCAGTGAACTGAGGAAGAACACTCATTGGAAGAGTTTCTGTGTTCTCTCTCTAGAATGTGTATGTATTTTTAAAGTAGGAAAGAGTGGAGTGAAGCAATGTAGCAGTGCAGGGGTGGGGAGGATGCATAGGGCAGTCAGTGCAGCAGCAGAGAAGTTGAGATTTCCGCAGACATTCAAGTCTTTGGGCCAGACAGAAGCAGGGAAGTGGACCCTCTCCAGGGGCAGGTGCTGACTCCCAGGACCAGGAACAAACCACTGGTAGACACACTGGTACTGGGAGAACCACTAGGTAGAGAAAATAGTTAATATCTGATGTCGGAGTATTTTCTGGGAAAAGAACCCTTCAAGCCAAGTGGGTTGAAGAGAAAGGGGCCAGATGTCTCTCTCTCCTCTCTTGCCTGATAGATTCCGAGACCCCAAATCCCAGAGGACGCACCAGGCCCAGGTGGCATTCCAAGTGTGTGTGCGCCCTGGCTCCTACACTCCGGGGCCCCCCTCGGCAGCCCTCCAAGAGCCTCCAGACCTCCACTTCAGTCCTGCAGAACTGGAATGGGTAACCAAGGAGAAGGGAGCCACTCTCCTCTACGCACTGCTGGTACGGGTGGAATGAGGGCCCGGCCTCCTCGTGACAAGCACAGCTGGGCCCTGGCCCATGGACTATGCCCGTGACAGCTGCCTCCACCTCATTCCAGTGCCCGGCATGTGCGGGTGCTGTCTTAGCAGATGTGCAGGACATATGGGCAGGTTCAGTTAGCAGCACATCTCCATGGTCAAGGGGCACGGATCAGCCCCTCAATGTGAGGTCTGTGGGGAGTCCAGCTCCTGGGTACCCTTCTCCATGCACTGATTTGGGGAACAAGAACCTCTACGGCACCTCTTCCCATATCACTTAATTTATTTCCGTTTTGGTTTTGTTACTTTTTTTTTTTTCCTGGTTACTGTGAATCCCAGAGGAATCTCTCCCTGTGTCCCACATAAAGCTGCTTTTTCCAGGGGCCACTAGGCGGGAGTGGGTAAGGGCGGACGAGGTAGGTCGGCCCCTGTAAAGTTGTTAGGACTCTGATTTCTAAGGAGCCAATAAACACGGTCTCTGAGCAGCGCCTCCGCCTCAGTCCTGCATGCCCCGTGGGCCCGTCTGGAGGGGTGGTGGCGTCCGCAGGCTCCGCGGGTTCACGCTCCGTGGCCCGGGCTTCCGGCAAGGCTCCGCGGGCTCGGGGTTTCCACAGGTTAGGGCCCTCGCCCCGACTCCCCGCAGCCCATCACCTGCATCCCGCCGGATCCTGCCTGCCAGGGCACTTGACCCCGGAAGTAGACTCCCCTGCCGGATGTGACGGTAGCGACCGAGGCGTGCTGGAGGCCGCGGAGCACGGAGCCCGGGCGGGTAGGGAGGGGTGTCGCTTGGGCTGCCAAGGACGGGGCGGGAGCGTGGAGGGAAGCCCCCCCAACTGGGCCGCGCGTCACCGGGTCCACGCGCCAGGGCGGCGGCCGGGACAATCCGCTGAGCGCCCGCCTCCCCCAGATCCCCTCCCAGGTCGCAGCCGTCAGTGACAGCCGGGCGCCCACGGCCCGAGCGTCCCCGGAGGCACCATGCCCGCGCTGCTGGAGCGCCCCAAGCTCTCCAACGCCATGGCCAGAGCGCTGCACCGGCACATCATGATGGAGCGGGAGCGCAAACGACAGGGTGAGCTGAGGCTCCGCATGCTGGTGTGTGGGGACCGGCGTGCGGGGACCGAGGCGACCCACCCACGCGCGCACTGGGGCGCTGGGTCTGAGCTCCACAACTCAAGCGGGAAAGGGCTGCGGAGAGTGCCGGCGACAGCATCCAATGGCGGGGATGGGGGAAGCTGCCCCCCCACGAGGGGACAGCCATGTTTCTGTTGTCTTCAGTGTTTTCACTTTCTCCAGTTTTAACCACCCTGCCACTTCTCCCCCTTCCTCCAGAGGAAGAAGAGGTGGACAAGATGATGGAACAGAAGATGAAGGAAGAGCAAGAGAGGAGGAAGAAAAAGGAGATGGAAGAGAGAATGTCACTAGAGGAAACTAAGGAACAAGTACGGAGCCACTCAACCCCTTCCAGCTGGCTGTGCCCGGAACCTGCTGCCTTCTTCATCTCTGTCCTCCACTTGCAGATTCTCAAGTTGCAGGAGAAGCTTTTGGCCCTTCAGGAGGAGAAGCATCAGCTCTTCCTACAACTCAAGAAAGTCTTACATGAGGAGGAAAAACGGAGGCGGAAAGAGCAGAGGTGAGTTTTGAATGCTAACGTTTTGAGGAAAATCAAATTGTGATCTGGTACCAAAGGCTTGTGTTTAATGGCAAGATTGGGCAGCTAGCTGTGGGGGGCTTTGACCTGCCTTCCTTTCACTCCAGTGATCTGACCACCCTGACATCAGCTGCCTACCAGCAGAGCCTGACTGTTCACACAGGAACACACCTCCTAAGCATGCAGGGTGAGAAAAAGTGGGTGGACATGCATCACTCCCCCAAGAGTTGGCAGCCTTCCACTGTAAAGTCTTCATCCTTTTCTAGGAAGCCCTGGAGGACACAGTCGCCCTGGAACCCTCATGGCAGCTGACAGAGCTAAACAGATGTTTGGACCTCAAGTGCTAACTGTGAGTAGCTTTTTTTCCCTATTTTCTCCACTCAGACCTTGTCTACTATTAAAATCATTAAGTATTGTAGATTATTTAGTCACACATTTGATACCAGCAGTCAAGAGACTATATATCACTTGCAAGTTTGTTAGAGCTCTAATGTTCTGAAGAACAGTGTTGGTTTAAATTAGGGGGTAGGCAGGGAGAAAAGTCTAACAGTGAGTGACTGGAAACACAAAGTCTGTAAACTTTCATTAAATTCAATTTAAAAAAAGAGGGGGAAAGACTATGCCATTTTAATGGTGTGCCTAGTTCAAGCCAGTCTTTCTAGTCACCGGCTGTGCATCTTAAGAGCAGGAGTGACATCAGGATACTAGAATTGATGCATTTGAGTGGTAGTGTTGGAGAGGAATGCTGAGTATCCCATGTACTGCTAAAAGAACAGATACAGAACCAGTGTCTCTGAGAGGCAAGGATGGTGAGACTTCATCTCACATTTTGGGCATTTTAGGGAAAAGAGACATACTTACAAAGACGACCCTGCAACAAGATAAGATTGATATTTGGTGACAACAGGCTCAAGTGTGTCCGGGATAAGACAGTGCAGGATAGGACAAGGTTCAGGTCTGCTGTTCATAGGCTCAATTTGATGGCACATAACCATAGGGGACACAGGGTCAGCTTTCAAGGAATTGATAGGCAGCAAGTTCTCTCTCCTTAGACACGGCACTACGTGGGCTCAGCAGCAGCTTTTCCTGGGACTCCCGAGCACGGGCAATTCCAAGGCAGCCCAGGAAGTGCCTATGGCACTGCTCAGCCACCACCTCACTACGGGCCCACACAACCAGCCTATAGTCCTAGTCAACAGCTCAGAGGTGAGCTGGTGGGATAAGAGGGAGTAGACTTGGAATCTGGGGTTTGGCCCAGAGGAAAGTAAAGTTATAAACATAGGTTGCAATAGTTCTACTTGCCTTTCTCAGCACCTTCAGCCTTTCCGGCAGTGCAGTACCTGTCTCAGCCACAGCCACAGCCCTATCCCGTGCACAGCCACTTTCAGCCCACCCAGACAGGTGATGACACCCCCCACTTGGGAGCCCTTAACTCTCAAGGGTCCTCCTTGTCCTAGTCTCTTGCTCATTGCATAAACACGTTTTCCTCTTCCAGGGTTTCTCCAGCCTGGCAGTGCCTTATCCTTGCAAAAGCAGATGGAACATGCTAACCAGCAGACTGGGTTCTCTGACTCAGTAAGTGTGGCCCCATGGGACGCCGGGGTAAGGACCAAAGGAACTTCATCTGCCTCAGGCCCCAATTCTGTTCTCTTCTAGTCCTCCTTGCGCCCCATGCACCCCCAAGCTCTGCATCCAGCCCCAGGACTCCTCGCCTCCCCTCAGCTCCCTGTGCAAATGCAGCCAGCAGGAAAGGTAAGGATGATCATCAGAAAAAGCTATCTGTACTACAAAGATTGGATTGGGTAGGACTGGTGATGGCACCCCCACCCCTACCCCTTTGGTTTCCCTTCCTTCCTGGGAGCAAGGGTATTAAAATCTAAGGGACAGCACACACTAATAAGAGCCCCTGTTGTCATTACCACTGCTAGTCGGGCTTTGCCGCTACCAGCCAGCCTGGCCCTCGACTTCCTTTCATCCAGCACAGCCAGAACCCACGTTTCTACCACAAGTGACATCAGATTTTATCATCAACCTCCACCACGGGTGAGGGTTCCTTATCTGTGTGTCCCAGACCAATAAAATCTGCCACTGTCCAGCTTGCCGTTTGTGTTGCTTCCAACCAGAATGTATGGAATTGGGTCAGGGCTGCCTTAATGTAGAGGGGCAGCTGGCTGGTAGGTCCAGAGCAAGTCTTTGGGACAGTGGTTTGCAATTAGTTCTGTGGCAGTCAAGTGATTTCTGGCTTCTGCAAAAAAAAAATTATTGAACTCAAATTCCCCAAGAAGCAGAGTTGGGAGCTTCATATTAAACTTGTTTTATTCAGGTTTGATTTTAACAAATGTGTCGGGGAGAGGGCCCACAGGAAAGGGTGAAGCCCATGGGGGCAGGGCCCTCCCAGATGCCTGAGGAAGGGGCAGGTCCCCTCCCCTCTCCTCCTCTTCCCTCCCCATTTCAAGGGGTTTAGGGAGAGATATAGGCAGGGGAGGGGGCTGGTCCCCAGTCTGTGGGGGTGGTTCGGGCAGGAGAGGACTACAGATAAGAGGACCAGATCAGGGATAAATGGGGAAGGATAGAGGACCATTTGCCAGAATCCATAGCGTTCTGATTCCAGATTGAATTAAAAAACAAACTAAACCACAAGCAGCACCCTCCCCATCTCCCCCACCTGGGCTGTAGTGTGAGGGGAGAA